ACCACGCACACACGCACGCACGCACGCACGCACGCCACCACCCACTACGCACGCGCGCGCGGAGCCACAGGTCCGCTACGACACGCGTCCGCGGATAGAGAAAATCAGCGCCATGGTAAGGGATGGGAGGGAGGGGTAGGACGTCAGATATGACGCGAGCGCACCTAGCTTGCCTCTCCCTCCCCCTCCCTCTCTCTCCTCCTCCTCCTCCTCTTCCTCTTCCTCCTCCTCCTACTCCTCCTCCTACTACTACTATACTTTATACTACTAATACTACTACTACTACTACTACTACTACTACTACTGCTACTGCTACTACTGCTACTACTACTACTGACTACTACTAATACCACTACTACTACTACTTACTACTTACTACTACTACTACTACTATACTACTACTACTACGACTACTACTTTACACTACTAACTACTGACTACTACACTACTACTACTACTTACTACTTACTAACTTACTACTTGACTACGACTACGACTACTACTACTACTACTACTACTACTACTACTACTACTACTACTACTACTACTACTACTACTACTACTACTACTACTACTACTACTACTACTACTACTACTACTACTACTACTACTACTACTACTACTACTACTACTACTACTACTACTACTACTACTACTACTACTATTTCTCCTCCTCCTCCTCCTCCGCCTCCTCGCCTCCTCCTCCTCCTCCTCCTCCTCCTCCTCGTGCTCCAGCTCCTTCCCCCCTCCAACTTGTGGTAGTGGTGGTGTTGGAAAACAGGCCCATCGGAGGTGGCGCTCTCCCGGGGCGTCGTGCGGGGCCCGGTTCTCGGCCGCGCTGACGCGGCGGCGGCCCCCACGACGATAAAAACGACAACAACGACATCGATGACAACGGTAGCGATAACAACGATGTGATCGTTGGGATCGTTGTGGTCGTCATCGTTGTTATCGTTGTTATCGTCGTTATCGTTGTCGCTGTCATCGTTGTCATCGTCGTTAACGTTATCGTTGCTATCGTCGTTATCGTCGTTATCATTGTTATCATGGTTGTCTTTGTCATCGTCGTTTTCGTCGTTATCGTTATCGTTGTCGTTGTCGTTGTCGTTGTCGTTGCTCTCGTAACTATCGTTGGCGCTGGTGCTCGAGATGTGGATCGCCGCCAGGGGCCTAGGCTCGGCCGCCGGCGAACCGAGGGGCCCTGTGGGAAAGCCGCGGCCGTTCCACGCTTGAACGATCAGCGCGGTGTCAGAACCCAGACATGATCGCGTCGTACAAAACAACAAAACATCAGGACGGGAGGTTTTTGAGACTATTTTCGGCCCCGGGGGCCCCTCGCCGGGCCTCGGGACCGTCAGACAACGGCGCAGGACGAGAAGCTGGTCCCGGGGAAAGGGTCGGGACTTCCAGGGACGCCGTCCTGAAAAAAATCAGGACGTCGCATGACTGGGAAGCCAACGTCCTTCCCCGTTCGGGGGGCAACGAAGGGGGGGGATAGGCGCAGGTGGGGATGCATCGACCCCCCCATCGTTCATTGATCGCCGATAGGGGCCCGATAATTAGCCCCATTCCACCCGGGAACGTGCGGATTCACTATCGGGGTCCTATCGCCGATCGGTCGGCGATGTATTGCTGATTCCAGATCGATGTGTCCCCACAGGAGGAGGAGGAGGAGGAGGAGGAGGAGGAGGAGGCGGAGGCGGAGGCCGAGGAGGAGGAGGACGAGGAGGACGAGGAGGAGGAGGAGGAGGAGGAGGAGGAGGAGGAGGAGGAGGAGGAGGAGGAGGAGGAGGAGGAGGAGGAGGAGGAGGAGGAGCCTTGAGCCAAAATGGCTCAAGGCTAAACGGAGGACGCTAAAGTAACATAGCTGACTCCGATTAGCTTTGGCCCTTCCGTCGCCCGTTCTCGAGCGTCTTGGGGTCTGTGAACTTTCTCTCTTGCTGCTTGCCCCTGCTGGCAGCTGCCTCTTTCCAACAACATCACAACGCCGTTCTGGCCCTCAAACCTTCCCGCGCGCGCCCCGCCAGGCACCGCGCGCATGTCTGATGAGCCAGCGGCCTCTGTCCTTTCGCGCTCTCCGCAGGAAGGCAGGTCCGACCGTCTGCGCGGTGGCCGTGCTCCTGGCGCTGCTGGTGAAGTTGGTACTGCAGGCTCACTTGCGGGTGCTGGTGACCCCTGGGCTGCAGCTGCACGAGCGCACTCTCGTCGAGTCCCTGCCGCTGTCGATTCTACCAGTGGGACTGCAACGCCCCAGGCTACTGCATGCACTGCCAGCCAACCTCTGGCACAAGGAGACCTCGAAGACTTCTTCGCCGCCTACAAGCTTGAGGTGGCGGCCACTACCGACGCAAAGTTCAATTCCATCCTTGGCGCGATGGTCAAGGACGTTACGGATCACACTGAAGGACTGGTGCGGGCGGTTGCCGCGCGCCAGGAGAAGGTCAACACCCAGCTGCGCGGGGAGCTCACTGAGCTGCAGGAGCGGATCGCCACATCGGAGAAGCAGCAGCAGGCCTTCTCGGAGCAGCTGGAGCAGATGCGGGCGGCTTTCCACGTGGCTGAGTCTACGATCGCGGTCAAGGACCTGGATGACCTCGCAGAGTGGGATCGTGCACCCGACACGGGCATCCTCGTGGCCAACACGACAGCCAATGTGGATCGTGAGACGCTCGTCGGGGTTCTGGCACCGTGGCTTCGAGAGGCGAAACTACCTGATGATGAATGGAAGCTGCTTGGCTCGACTCCCTCACGGCGGTTCATTGTGCAGTTCAAAGGTGATATCAAATCGGCCACTCGAAAGGCGCAGGCTGAAAGGACGGCTCTCAAAGATACCACGGGAGCTTGGAAGCAATTCTCGGCCAGCACGGTCGAGGGCGGAGAATCGACGGTCTTCGTGGGGATGGACAAATCGCCGAAGCAAGTTCGCACGGAGATCCAAACCAAGGCCATGGCCGCGGCGCTGCGCGAGCAGAAACCAAACCTTCGGTCTCGCCACGATCGCCAGCGTGGAGCTGTCTTCTTGGATGGTTCCCCTTGCGCGCAGGTGCAAGTGGCAAATGAGCGAGATGATTGCACACGTCTTCTATGGAACTATTCTCTCGTGCAGAAACACGGAGTCAACGAAGATGAGTTTGCGGCGGCCTTCAACAACAAGTTCCACGCGGAGGAAAGGGTTCAGTGGCAAATATAGCAGGACTCTCAATACGTGGCATCAGAAGATTCGAGAGAGGCCAATGCAGGAGATCCAGATGATGACTTGGAACACACGTGCTCTTCTTCATCACAAACCAGACGTGCGCCGTAGGAAGGCTGCCAAGCTCAAGCAGTTCTGCAGCGGCGCTGGTGTCGTGGCACTTCAAGAGGTACACGGTACTCGTCCTGACGTGCTCAAGCTACTGTGCGGTCACCAGATCTCGGCGGCTTGCTTCTCCTCTCTCCCTGCTCACGACGCTGGAGGGGTGGTCACGCTGCTGCCGCAGATGACTCAGGCGGAGGCGGATGAAGCGGTACGCGAGGAACGGATTCGCATCTCAGAACTGGTCCCTGGTAGAGTGCTGCGGTTTGCGGTCAAGGCTCGTGCTGATGATGAGCGGCCTGGCGCTATGTCGGTCATACACAACGTGCGCAACTTCGGACTGACGGCTCAGCAGGCGCCCACCATGTCCTCTCGTATTTCGGCAGTGGCGGAACAGGCGGCGATGCAGCCACTAAAGATGACAGCGATTGCGATGGGCGGCTTCAACTACACGGAGGTGGCCCCGATGCACTTGCATGCCCCTGAGATCGACAAAGGATTGGTCATCCCGCCGAGGCACAGGGAACACGCTGATACTTGGGCTGCGGCATTGAGCGAGATGACTGAGTTGGACCCTGAAGCACCGACCCACTACGTTCATGATGATCAACGACGTTCACAGCTTGACAAGGTGATGATGCGTACGCCTGGCTGGTTACTTCTTCAATGGTCGACGAGCGCGACGGTCTTGCAGTATCCTGAGGACCTCTTCAAGCAGGGCCTGTCCGACCATGCGCCGCTGCGCATCACCTTCGGCTCCTGGCCCCGGAAGGCGCTGGAGGACCAGGCTGTGCCGCGCTTCGTCTGTCAGGCTCCTGAGTATAAACAATTGCCCAACCTCCTTCTTCAACATTCGGATCTTCTGGAGCTCCCGACGATTGCGAAATGGGATGAATACAAACGACTTCTGAGGGAGACGGCACGACTGACCAGGAATAAGCTTATGAGCGCTAGGACCCCCCCGTTGGAAGCCAAGGTGGTAATCTTCCGATCTATCTCGAGGGCTGTTCACTTTAACCTTGTGAATCTGGCTCGGACCTTGCTGGCGACCACGACGGTTGCGGCTGAGTTCCTGGAGATTTCGGACGACAATGGTGTTCCGCTTCCCTGGCCTATGAGTTTTAGGGGGCAGTGCGAGCAGCTTCAGCGTGACCTTGTGGAGGACCGTGTGAATCGTGCTGAAACTGCCCCGAAGGACTCCCCTGAATATGCTGAGAGGAAGAGAATTCGAGCGCGCGTAAGAGCGGAGAGGAGGCGAGCCAAGATGTGGGTTCCGAAGGGAAAGACGCTGCCGCTTCAGGCTGGTCGACTCTGTGCGTGGGGAGGTTCTTGTGTCCTCGTCGGAGATGGTCTCTTCCCTTCGGCCCCACTGGGCCCCTGTTTTCGCCCCCCGCTCGACGTCGCAGAAGCATCTTGATCAGTACTTGGACAAGCATATGCGCGTATTTGACTGGCCCTCGGTCGCGCCGCCTTCGATGGGGCCGATTGCCTATGTGATCCACGGTGCGAAACCCGCGGCTCCAGGGCCTGATGGCCTTCCGTATGCGGCGTGGCAGCAGTCTCCGCTTTCGCAGGCAATTCTATATGAGCTTATGCTTGAGTTGCTTGCTGGTTCCCCCCTCCAGTCACCCTCAACGACCTCCTTCTTATTTTTGCGCCGAAGGGTCGCGAGGAGCGGGATGGTGCCTTTGCGATGAGAGCCCCGCAGAACACCCGCCCACTTGCCCTGAAGAGTACAGATGTGAAAGTTATCTCGTCAGCCTGCAACCAGCGAATTAAGGGGGCGATTGCGGCGCAAGCTCACAAGGATCAGAGAGGCTTTCTGCCAGGCAGGAACTTCCTTGACAATGTGGTGCTACTAGATTCAGAAGCACGCATTGCTGGGATGCACCCTGAAGCATCGAGCAGGATGCCGCCCCTCCTCTTCCTCGGCTTTGGCAGCGCCTTTCCCTCCCTCCTTCATCAGTTCCTGTGGGCTGTGCTTGCAAAGTGTGGTATTCCCGAAGGTTTCCTGGGTCTGACCCGGGCGGCGCACGCGTTTGCCGCTGCCATGGTATCCTCGCTCGGTTGCCTCCAGACGTTTTGCATCATCAGCTCGGGCATTATGCAGGGTGCCCCAGACTCGGGACCGCGATGGGCTTTTAATAAGGGACCCCCTGATCAGAGACATGCGCAAGAGGCTGAAGAAACACCCTGGGTCGGAGGTTGGGGTGTGTGCGGACGACGCGGGGGCTCTGGCGGGTGATCTTCGGGCCCTTGCGCGCCCCTCGTTTTTTTTATGCGGCCGACTTTTTAGCAGGATTGAAACTCAAGGTTCCGAAGTGTAGGCTGGTTCCTGTCCACCAGGCCTTCGGTGAGGAGGTCAGGTCTCAGGTCGCGGCTGCCGTCGAGAGGATCGCCCCGCGATGGAGTGGCATCCCCGTGGTGGGCTGCGCGGGGTACTTAGGCGCGTGGCTCGGTCCCGAGGCGAAGGAGGAGGTGTGGGCGAGGGCGTTTCGGGAGTGGGTGGGAGTTGTTCGATGCCTCGCTG